TGCTGTGTACAGTAAATTAGAGACTGCATTCAGGGCAGAACAACTTGCTCCTAGGATTTTTCTCATTTAAATAAAAGCCTTTTCTGTATATTTCTTTCTTTCATTCTTCCTAGAAGTACTGATTGCTTTTCATAGTACATTTTATATGTTTACTTATAAAACTGATCAGGGCAATCGTCCACCATTTGAGTTCATGTTTATTAAGCATTTCCAAATTGTATAGGCTGGTTCATGCCAAACATTGGTTGTTTTATTGTACAGTAAATTGCCTAGTCATAGGAAAATAGATCAAGTGTGGTCATTGAGGGAAAAAAATCAAAGAATTTTGGTCTCTGATCCATTGGTTCTCAAACTTTGGATCCAATTCCTTATTAGAAAAGCAAATTATTAAATTCCATCTGCAACCTACTGACCTCTTGGATCAGAGCCCTGTAACCTGTATTTTATTTTATTTTTCCCCAGAGAGGAAGGGAAAGGGAGAGAGATAGAAACATCAATGATGCGAATCATTGATTGGCTGTTTCCTGCACACCTGCTACTGGGGATCAAGCCTGCAACCCGGGCATGTGCCCTTGACTGGAATTGAACCAGAACCCTTCAGTCTGCAGGCTGGTAGTCTATCCACTCAACCAAACTGGCGAGGGCTGTAACCTGTATTTTTAACAAACCCTTCTGGTGATGAAATGTTAAACAGAAGCTTGCAAATTTCTGATCTAAACTCTTTTTTTGGGGGGGTAATCCTCAACCAAGGATATTTTTTCCATTGATTTTCAGAGCGAGTGGAAGCGGGGGGGGGGGGGGGAGACAAAGAGAGAGAAACATGGATGTGAGAGAGACACATTGATAAGTTGCCCCTAAACACATCCCGACCAGGGCCAGGTATCAAGCCTACTCTCAACTAGAATTGAACTATGAGCCTTCAGTCCTTCGGCCGACACTCTAACCACTGAGCAATTTGGCCAGAACAATCTAAACTATTCTCATCCCCAAGCCGTAGACACCCCTGGTTTGGCTGAATAATTTTGAAAACAAATGTTTTGGTAAAATAATAGTCAGTTATTCTGCTAAGATTAAGCTATTAGCGTCCACATCTTGAAATGATAACTGGCTGTGACTTATTTTGGGTAATTTATTTTTCATTTTCTAATGCCCTAAATTTCAGGTTCTTCCTATTTCTAATTGTCACATTTATTCTACCAGAAGATTGCCGCCTATCTGTGCATGCTTTGAATGTGTCTATTTGAATCTGTGTACACTGTTTTTTGCAAGTATTTGCTTAGCTCTCTTAACATCCAGGAAGTGTTTCCATGATATCTTTATTACAAGAAAATCAGATGCAGAACACTGCAGCCCACAGTGCCATGCTATGATCCAACAGGACCATCTTCTGCACCTGCCACCTAGGCCTTTACAATTCCGTGTGTTAAATGCCTTGCCCTTCTCTATGGTGAGAACTTGAAATAATGTTTTGGGTTTTGTGATCTAGACAACAACTCCTACTGTTGTTAATTAGATGAATGGTATAGAAAGTAAAAATGATTGGGTCCCAGGAGAAGGCGGATTTTCCCCAGTGACCCCCACGGGAGGACACTCAGTTATGGGAGAATTACCATTTCAGTTAAATGTGTGCTTGGAAATGTCTCCTTCCTTCTCCTCTTTAACATCATGGTCATCATTATTTAAAAAGAGAAGAAAAAAAGGCCCCATCTATGAACCATCGGGCTACACAGAACAGAATTACTCATGTGGCTGTCCTTTCTGGTGAATTATTCTTAGTTCAAGGGGGAAAATTAATCCTGACATTTTATAATTAAGCATGACTCACTTGACCTGCTACAAACACACAGCAAATCACACAGAAATGGTCTTTCAAGAAACAGCCATCAGTGAACCCAAGAAATGATACAATCTCACCTCACTTACCTAGCCTTTCTGCAAATATTACTTAACCTCTGGATGCTACTTCAACAAAGTTTATTAGAGCAAGTCCTGTAAGCGACCTTTTTTGCTGTTATTTAACATTATAAATCTAGTGTTTCTGTTCAAGCCTGTGTCCCCTCAATTTCTTTCCCAACTAAAGAAGAGCAGTTAATTGAGAATGGAAAAACAAGTCCCAGAACAATTATGAAAGAATAATGAAGTTTGAATTAGTACATGCAATTAAACAAAGGTAAGATGCACAAGAAGGTGCGAATAGAGGTCAATGCTCATGTGTGTTTATAGTTAGGTCTCTGTAGGCGGACACTGAAGGGGAAGAGATGAAAATGCTTACAAGTACAGTACAACTATACTTCGGGATAACTAGAAATTTGCTTAAAGAAAAAAAAAATCACAGAGGCCTTAGCTCATGCTATTCTAATATATAAATTGAAGGCTTATGTAAACATGGGTTTCAACACTCCTTTTCTTTGTAGTTAAAGATTGCACTTTCAAATGCCCAATGATTCTGGACCCATTCAACACACATTGAACACAGGCCCTGTCGAGCTGCAGGGCTATAATAGGAACAGGAGGCACAAGTCCAGCACTCCTGGAGTTCACCCTCACCCTGACCGGCACTTTGAGATGATGGCTTACTGATTTGAACGCTTTTCTCTGTTGTCATGTGAATCAAGAAGCTCCGATTCACAATTCTTCCCAGGAAGGTTCTCCACTTTGCTTTCCTGTTTTTGTGTTCTTGCTTTCTTATGATTTCTCCAACTGGACCACCTCCTGCATGCTCTATGTGTGAATCTAACCAGCGAAGCGCTTTCTAACCATCATGCTCCATTTCTAACCATCTTTGTCCTCAGAGCTCTCATGACATTTAGTAGATAACCTCCCATGACATTAAGTTTGCAACTTACCCATAGTCTTTCCTGTTTTTATGTATTTGATTATATTTTCTGTTGTATGTATGTTGAGTCCTATAGGACAGGGCCGTACTCACACTTGAATTCCATCACTGTGCTTAGCGAACTCACCTCGCACATACCGAATTACACAGCTCACGGAAGCTGGAAGGCACGGCAGAGAACACCCTATTTAGTAAGGTGAGGCAAGCGGGATCTAAGACCACATAACCAGTGAACAATAGAGAGTGATTTGCAACAGGCTCTGTGAGTAATACTGTGGGAGTTAGTGCACAACCCTTTCTTGACACACAAGAAGAAACACATTTTTCATGGTTTCCCCTGGAAATTTGATTAAAAGCTGTGTGTTTTTTGGCATTTAGTCTATCTGGTTAGTCTGTTCAGAGTTATTGTTTGTCAAATTATGAAATACCAGTTGCTCTGTTCCCAATTCTAATTGAGAGCTCTTTTACCCATGGGCACCTGGAACCATGGGGCTTGTGGACTCCATTCATTCATTCATTCATTCAACATATATAAATAGGTAAATAAATAGTATAAATATGGTAATGTACATACTTCTACATAACAAAGTGAGGGGTTGGAAAAAATAAGTCTAGACTTATTCCTATAATTCCCAATCATGATTCAATAATGTCCCTGGAACTTTAACTCTTTCCCCTATCTTCGTTTAAGAGAAACCTCAGCCAATATGCAGTGTCTGATGTTCTGTGAATATCTACAAGCCTAAAAGCCTTGTTAGAGCCTTAGAATTGTTTCTAGCACATATTACTAACTAAGGAGTAGGTAGCACCTTTACTTCACAGTGGAAGAGGCCTTACTTACATCTAATATTTTCATTGTTATTCATGTGTGCATTATGCATAGATATGGGCTGCATTGTACTTTCCCGCCATGATTTCCTTTGCTCCTGTTCCTCCTCCACTTGGCACGTGTTTCCGGGGAGCAGCCCTCCACCCAAAGTCTTTGCTGGTGCTCCTTTGGCCGCAGGATGGAATCCAAGTTCTCGGCACAGCACACTGTCTTCCACCACCGCCTGCCACTTCCCTCACAGGCCTGGCAGCCCGGCAGGCAGCACACTAGCTCTCAGCTCCTCCGCCTCCTCCTCAGGGCTCGCAGCGCCAGGCACGCTCCCCCCTGCCCCTTCACACACAAGCCTGCAGGGGCCCAGTGTCGAGGACTCTTTTTCTCCCCTTTGACTATCTCTTTATTTCACTGGGATACGAGTCTCCCTTCATTTCAAAGAAAGGACACCCTCCTCATTTTGGAACCGTGTAGATAGTATTGTAACTGTAAAAATGTCTTTAAAGTGAGCAAAAAGTAAAGACTTCTGAACGGAATGAAGAGTAACCTGGGAAGAGGGCATGTCTAGCCAGATATATAAACGTGTTTGGCCAGAATAAGTAGCGAGTTCAGGAATAGCTGCTTACAAAGTGAGGAACAGGTGCGGTTGCCAGGGCTGTGAGAGTCAGCCCTGTCCTTGTCTGCAGCCAAAGGCAGGTTGGGAGGCAGATGTATTCGGTCTCAGTAGCAAAAAAAATCGCACAGGGTCTATTTCAGATACGCAGACCAGATGCCTCTGAGGAAGGAAAGGTAACAGGTAACCTTTCTCTCAGCCTTGCTCTTTGCAGCAACAGATTTTTAAAAAGTTCTCTCATAGCGATTTCTTAAGAACAGAACCTGAGGGTGGAGAAAGTTGGCCCAAGAACAGCTGAAAGGGCAGAGGGGAAAACAGGTATATTTTCAGCACACAAAAAATGCACTTGAAGTAATGGACTGAATACAGAAGTATCATGAAAGTTCTTAATCTGTCTAGTGTCTACATTTCTTACTATAGAAACACTGTTAGTGCCCCTATATTGTTGGGCAGTTGGAAATAATTATGTAAACAGCCCCGTTGGCCTAATTAACTTATATATCTGTATAGTGAGCACTTGGTCAAATTGCAAATATATATTTTTATCTTCGGTTAATATTCACTAGTGATTATTTTGCTATTGACTTTTAGAGAGAGTAGAAGAGAGGGAAAGAGGAAGAGAAAGACTGAGTGACTGAGAGAGACACATCAATTGAATGCCTCCCGCACACACCCAGATAGGGGCTGGGGGATCAAGCCAGCAACCAAGGTGTGCCCTTGACTGGAATAGAACCTGGGACCCTTCAGTCCTCAGGCCAACATTCTAACCATTGAGCCAAAGTGGCTAGGCAAACAGTAAATATTTTAACACTCATTCTAAGTCAACAGGCTTTACCAAACTAGATACTAAAATTACTCTCTGTTGTTTTGAAATAGAACATATAATATAATATTTAAAGGAATTATTTAGAAAAAGAGAAGCTTGGGATTGAATTTTCTGTTATCATGAATTTTCAGTTGTTTGCTTTATTCCTACTAAGGATGAGATTGATCTGCTTTACCCACATAATGGCTGCATTTTCTTTTTCCACTTTGCCTACAAGTCCAATGGTGAGACTATGTAGAGTTAATTTATGATGGGTCTTAAAGGAGGAGGAGAGGAAAGGCAGAGGGGAAAGTGAAGTCCAGGCTGGAAGAATGAGCAGCGGGAGCGATGGCAATGGGAAGGAAACAGGATAGTGTGCTCCGCAGCCACGTGCTGTCCCGTGGGTGTGGGTGCTGACTGACAGCAGGCAACCCCCACACCTGCATTGTTCTAGTCCTGTAACAGCAGGGTAGAGACTTGTCCAAAGGAAGGAGAGAGTGTGCACTGAAGGACAGGATTTCTTCATGGGATGGGGTGAGGCTCAGTCTCCATTGTGAGACTAGGGTGGAGGCACCGAGGCATTTCGTTCAGGTAAACAGTGAGGAGCAATGGGAAGGCATTTAGTAGTTGAATGGTGCTTCAGAGTCATTTTAAGTAAAATATATAGTATGAATCTACATTTAAAAGCACGGGTGGAAAAGGGAATGGTGGAAGAAAAGAACTGTTTAAGTGGAAGAGTTTGGTACTCCTTTGCCAAAACACTATTATTTGCAAATAGGGGAACCAATGTTCATCTCCCAGGTGGTTGAGAAATTTAACTTGGCAGGAACAGTGTCTGATGATGCTCTTTGGGTGGTTAACACCGGAATAGCCCCAAGGTCCCCTAATCTCAACTGTTAGCAACTTGTGGCCAGGATTCAAGTAAAGCTTTAAAGTCTTATCTGTATCAGGGTATGAAGCTCGAACTTGTTCCTGTGACCCCAACATTCTGTGACAGGCCCCACGGTGGGTGCTGGAGGAGGAGAAGAGGCGCTGTCACCTGATACCAAAGTCACAGGGCCAGGATCCCTGCCATTCAGATCCCCCAGGACTGGAGCTGAGCGCGGTAGGGCGGGGCAGGAAAGCTTTGCGGAGGAGCTTTATTTTCCTTGTCAGCTCAGTCATTTTTTCCCCCTCATTGAAGCAGTGTATTTGAGAGTGGAGGCTGCCTTATGCCCTGTGGGTCACCCTGGGAGAGCCGAGGGACCAGGTGATGTATATATCACTGCCCTGAGCAGCGAGAGGGGTGTGAGTGCCACAGCCAGTCAGATTTCTAGCAGGAAACGCATGCCTGCCAGAATGCATCATTTCAACTTTGCCTTTCATTGTGCTAATTCCCTGAATGGCAATAACAAGGGGCGGAGAGGGAAGGAGAGGCAGGGAAATAGGAAATGAAAGAAGAGAGATCTGAGAAACTAAATCTGCAGGGGAGAGCGGTTAGCAGAGTTTTAGTGAAACTGCTCTCTCGGCAGATACAAGCCCGGAAGCAGAGGGAGGGAGCAAGGTTGGGCGTAAGAACCTGCTACTGGGATTTAGACAAAGGCGTTCTGAGAGAGGCAGAGAACGGGGCGGGACCAGTTGCTAATGTCAGCACGAGGACAGAGCCTGCAGCTGGCCTCCCGGCATGAAACGGAATAAATTCCCAGCGTCTCCTTCAGGGTGCCAATAGCTGGAGCATGTACCAAGATAAGAACTCAGAGGAAAAAGTAAGTTTGGGAAAAGACTCACAGATTTCCACCGTCTTTGAAATCCTGCTCTTCTGTGAGGCATGTCTTCATCGATGCGTTACCTTTTTATAGTTTCTGTCTCCTGTGTCATCGTTTTTATTGTGTTCTATGTGTTCATGTTTGGGGGAGAGCAAAGCCTCCAGAGGCTGAATAATTCGGACACGCTGATGCTGACTCAAGTTTGCGCATCCTTTATCAAAGGCAAGACACCTTTCCTGTGGAGGGACAAACTGATGCTATATCAGAAGCCTTCCTGCCGAGACTATCTGGCCCAGAGCCACTACATCACAGCCCCGTTATCCGAAGAAGAGTCTGGGTTCCCTTTGGCCTATGTCATGGTCATCCATCACAACTTCGATACCTTTGAGAGGCTCTTCAGAGCGATCTACATGCCCCAAAACGTCTACTGCATCCATGTGGACGAGAAGGCCACAGCTGCCTTTAAAGATGCGGTGGAGCAGCTGCTGAACTGCTTCCCCAATGCCTTTCTGGCCTCCAGGATGGAGCCGGTTGTCTATGGCGGGATCTCCAGGCTGCAGGCGGACCTGAACTGCCTGAGGGACCTGGTGGCCTCCGCGGTCCCGTGGAAGTACGCCATCAACACCTGCGGGCAAGACTTCCCCCTGAAAACCAACAAGGAAATAATCCAGTATCTGAAAGGATTCAAAGGGAAAAACATCACCCCGGGGGTGCTGCCCCCGGCGCATGCCATCGGCCGGACTAAGTACGTCCACCGTGAGCACCTGGGCAAAGAGGTTTCCTACGTGATCAGAACCGCCGCTCTGAAGCCGCCTCCCCCCCACAACCTCACCATCTACTTTGGCTCGGCCTATGTGGCCCTGTCCAGAGAATTTTCCAACTTTGTGCTCCAGGACCCCCGGGCTGTGGACCTGCTCCAGTGGTCCAAGGACACCTTCAGTCCCGATGAGCATTTCTGGGTGACGCTCAATAGGATCCCAGGTATGTGAGGTCCGCGTTGGGCGTGATGGTGACGCCACCCCCGAGAGGGGCTTCTCCAGAGCCTGGTTCTTTTCACGGGAGTAGAAGATGAAACAACACATAGTTCTCATCCTAACCATTTCTAACAGCAGAATGAGGTTTTTTATGTGATAACACGATGTTGTAGCACAGCCAAATAGCACTTTCCAATGGGGTTGCTTTGCAGTTCATCATGTTCTCTTGCAATTATCATCCGACGAAGTCTTTGCCACGATAGATATTATTGTTCTCAATCCTCGCTAGAGTTCTCTCTCCCAAATTTGTCAAATTTGCTCTAACCTCAGGGCCTTTTTCTGGCCCAATCTCCTGCCTACCCCTACACAGCACAGGCTCCTTCTTGTCAGTCAGATGGCTCTGAGCTGACCACCCCACCCCGTCTTTCCTTCAAAGAGTATATCACGCTCTGGAATTGTCATATTTACTTATGTGCACGGTTTGTTCTTGGCCTCCTCTGCATTAGCTCCTTTGTCTATCTTATTAGCTGTTGTGTCTTCCATGTTTAGAACACATAGTAAGTGCTTAATAAGTATATATTAGGTGAGTGAGTGAATGAATGGCAAAGTATAAGGCTTTACCACAGCTGTTTCCCAGTAAACTGAGAAATATATGGACTCATGCCTGAACCGTTTCATAGGTGTAGACTCACACACACACACACACACACACACACACACACACATATATATTTGTGATTTTTTTATTTTTTACTTCAGATAAATAATGAGGCTCTCTGAGAAGTTCTTTTCTTTTTCATCAAAAACATTTCTATTTTCCCTAAGGGAGTAGATCAGCTATTTTTAAAACTATTTAAAACACAATAGAATTTCTCCTGAAGGAAGCAGCACACTTTGAACTCAATGAAAAATACAAAATAGATCTCTGATGAACTAGACAGCATTATTATGGCCAGAGAAAGGCAATCATTGTTCTGGTTACTGGGCGGCTGCCAAGTTGGAAGCACTGGTAGGTGCTCTCAGCTGCAGGGCAGGGCCTGCTGGGCGACAGGCAGGCCAGTGACCTCTGGAAAATACCGTGTTTGGGCTCTGCATACGGGTGACTGGCCTGGGGACTAGGGCTGGCTTTTGTCCTGCTCTTTGTCTTCTGCCCTACCTCCCTCTCCCGTTGTTGTTTTCTTTCTTTCTTTTTTTTCTTTTTCCATAATTGACATTGAATTGAGTCAATAGGTACTTAGAGGCTGATTTTCATTAAATATTTATCCCCTTTCTATTTTCACGATTCCCTTCAGATTTACAAAAGTTTGGTCTTAGCCATGTGTTTCCTTAGCTAACACACTGAGATGAGGGCATTTTCTAACGTAGTAGAGCCTGAATTGTCACTTTTTAAGAAAAGAAAAACATGGGTTTTGATTAGCATTCAGTGTCTGTGGTTACTTTGACAGAAGGGACGGCCAGTCTTATCAGTGTCAAAGCAGTGTAAGAAAATGAAGGGAAAAAAGAAACTTTCTCCATCCCCCTTTTTTCCTTTGCCCCTTTCTCCTTTTCCCAGCCCTAATCAAACAGACAAGTGGATGACACTTAGAAAGATAGGCACAGGAGAGAGAACCATGTTTGCTATAGGTCTTCGGCGTAGCATGCTGGCTTTTGCTCTGACACAGCATCCTTATGACCCCACGTAAATCACGTAGCCTCTTGGAACCTCACGTCTCCCAGCTACAAAATGAGGGCCCGGCGGGAAGACCCCTTTTGTTCCTACACATGCTTTTCTTTTCAGAAGATGCAATGTCCAGACCACATACACACCCAGCCCTTGGTTCCCGGGAATTCTGAAAGTGCTGGGGAGTCTGGACTCTGAAGTGCCCATTTCCTGTGGCAAGTGCATTCCATTTCCCTTGCAGGTAGTGGTGATGGTGGTGGTGGGGGTGGTGAGAGCATCTCCCCAGGGAGGCAGATACATGCAGCCCTGTTCAGTGGGCTGCCAGGTCTGATTCTGCAAGGCAAGCTTTTCAGGATGATATGGCATTTCCTGGGGCTTTGCCTCCTTCCTTTCTTAGACTCAAGATGGCATCTGGGTCAGGAACACAGCAGAAGCAGATCCTGCTGGTAGGGGCCTTTCCGAATGACTAGTTATTAAAGGAAAGTAGGCAAACACTCCAGCGCCAGGGTTGGCAATCTCATCGAAGGCGAAGTAAATTCCATTGATCGCTCCAGGAACTCCCGAGGGTTCGCCTGTGAGCATTCTTTGTGATTTAAGATTTACTGTGTGATCTGCTGCTTTATTGCCAGACAAGCTTGAACCACATCACTTCTCCTCCTTTCAGTGTCATGTGTTCAGGTAAGTTCCGTAGGAGATGCAGCGTAAGCATCCTGTTTGCTCGCTTCTCTCTTTCTCCTAAACGTCCTAAATGAAAGTGTTTGCATTAGAAAGACCCTGCACAGGCCTATTGGGTTCCCTCAAGCACCCACAAGAGTAATGACTAGTATCTTATAGCGAGATAGCAGAAAACAAGGTGAAAACCATTTAAAATTGGTGGAACTCAAAAAGGACATTTAGAGAGGTAACACTACATTGAGAATCTTCACACTGCTCTTAACTTGCCTTTCTATGGAGAAAATGACTTCCTTCTTGGTTTCCAACTCTGAGGCCTACCCCATATTGTATCAGAAACAGAAAAGGTGGGGCCAGGACAAGCCCCTTGGGAGTCCCAGTCTCACTTCCTTCTTCAGGGAGGCCAGGCAGAGTGGCTGTCAGTCTGTCCTCTGTGGCTGGTGGACAGACATATTGTCTAGACCCCTCCCTCTGGCCATATTCTCAAAGGAAACCCAGGAGCACAAACTTCTTTGACTCACAGCACAAAACATCCTGCTCTACCAGCAGTACCTCCCCGCCCCAAAAGCCACCGCCTCCCTCCCCCACCCCCACCCCCCCCTGGCGATGCTGATGCACACACATTTCCTAACTTCTCAGATCTTCGTAATTGTTGCTAATGTGTCACCTTGAGAAAAGCCCATTTTCTCTTTTCTGGTTATTCCGCAGGCATTTTCTTTCCCCTACCTGCTCCAGGGCAGGGTGTCAGTGGCCATTTAGATTTTTGCCTCAAGCCTGGTGGAATTGCTTAGCATCTGCAGAAGCTGGTGGTGTTCTCTTTCTCTCCCTTCCCACTGCGACGACGTTGTCCTCTTGTCCCTCTCAGGGCGGGGCCATCTCCACTGTGAAGGCAAAACTGCTGCAGGATTTGGCTTCAGTTCCTTTTCTCTCTAAGTTTGTTCTGGTGAATTTTCACTCATGCATGACTCTGACCTTTCTCATGCCACGATGTTTTTTGTCCATAATGTTTTCATTTGCTTCTCTTCCTTTTCCCACTTTTTCAAATAAATTATCTCAACCTCAGAAGTGACTGCATGATCACATTTCCTCATTTTTTTCCAATTCTAAAAATAGCATGCTTCCTACTTCGATTTATATTGCCTTTTAAACTTTGAGTTTTATTTATATGTGCACATTCTTTGGGAAAGTGTTTTCACCCTGAGTTGCAAGTGACAGAAATGCAACTTGAAGCTGCTTCTAACAGGCACCAGAGCTTGCTGAGTCACAGAATTAAGAAGTTCGAGGATGGGCTCCAAATAAAGCTGGATCCAAAGTTGGAACAACATTTTCGGGACTTTTTCTTGGCAGGTCATCTCTCTGTGGGGAGGCCAGCCATCCCTGTTTGCCCGGGTCTGAGGGTGGTCCTGGGAATGGGTCTTTCAGGAATGTCAGGCTGGGCGAGGTGGCCACCGTGACTCTCTGCCTCTGTCCCAGAGGTCTCACTGAAGCAGGGTCTCCCACAGGGTGTCAGAAATCACCAGAAGTAGTTCCAGCTGTTTGGTTCTGACTGCTGGCACTTCTAGGGAAAAGGAAAGTCTTTTTCCTGATAGTTTTAGCAACAGCTTGGGGGGATCCTCAGGCTTGTTAGGCTGGGTGTGAAGAATGGTAGCAACCATACTTGGGTAAAAATTGCTGTTTAATATTTTAACCTTGCTGTTTTGAGTTCTGTACTCACTTTCTGAACTTATGTATGACTGAATACTCCATTGATGATGGTTTGAATATCCCATTGACTGTGAACTCACTGGTCATCGAAGCACATTCCTGGGACCCAAGACAGTTCAACGATCTTAAATTGCCTAAGTATCTGCAGATGGTGCCTTCCTGCTGACTCAGTGACCCCAGAGTCTGGACGGCACAATTCTAAATTGTCCAGGTGGTCTGTCCCAGCTAATGTGTTTCTGTTGATTCAGTGATTCATAGATAACTAAGTTGCTCAAATTCTGCTTCTGTAAAAATGCTTTTTCGAGAAACAGGTTCCTCATTCCAGACCCAAAGATGTAATCGATACTTTTGTGATTTTCTGCCAATATAAGCCGGGCGTGGCAAGCTGATTGAGGCTGCAAGGTCTGGAGCGCTTTTGCTTCCTCATATGCCGCCGGCCTTTAATAAATGACTCCATAATTCGACTTTTGAGGCGACCTTTGTAAGATGGGGGTTACACTACAACTGCTCCAAATCCTTATCCCTAAATAAATCAGGGGGCGGGGGTGAAGCATGCCGGCCAGCCTTTCTTGGGCTGCTTTCTCACACTAGAGCTAGCGGTCAGGGGCAGGCTCCGGCGGAGGATGGCTAGCTACTTGGTGATGCTGGACAGACAGCAACACAGTGCACTGCACCATGGTTCACTGTCCTGCAGGCAGAGCTGTCCAGACCATCTGTACACACCAGAGGGCAAGATTAATGCAGCGATTTTCAACCTTTTCACCTCATAGCACATACACTTAATTTCTAAAATTATGCAGCGTAGCAAAAAAATATTATATATTTTGCTGATCTGACCAAAAAATAGGTATAATTTTGATTTCTTCATAACATATGCCTATTATTGTATTGGCTACTGTCATTTTTTATTTGACAATTTTAAGGGAAAAGAGAGCAGTGCCCTAAGTAGTCAGGTATTGCATGCTTTAAAAATTTTGGC